GTACAGAAGCTTTTGGCTTCAATAAGAATTCAGTGAATTTATTTCTTACAGCATACAACTTCAATACACAGTTTTTATATTGCACACACCTTGTTCCATTTATTCGTATAGTTAATATACGTATTATACTAAACAATTATTCTATAACAATTTTTAATTTTTTAATATTTTTAATTTTTAAAATATATATATATTTATATATATTTTTTTTAATTTCCAAATCAATATGTTTACTGTACTGAAAATAACTACATGTAAATGTAGTAACTATAGTAATGCGTAGTTATGTTCTTTTGTTTAGCCTATATTTTTAGTCGATCAATTATATACACACCCATGAATACTGGCTAATACAAAAGAAATTCATAAACACCAACAACAACAAATTACAAATTTCAATATTTATATTATAAATCGACTCAAAACCAATAAAATACAAATAAAAAATACACAAATATACGCATATGTAACACATGTTACTATAGTAATGTACAATAATGTATACAGTCTGTTGAACAAAGCAGATGTAACTTCAAACAAAAGTTTTGACACTTTCAAGGAAAGGATCAATGGCCTTCATTAAGCTGCAATTGCAAAATCAAAACAAAAAAATTATTTTAGTGCAAATGAACAAAAATAAAGAAACATCCTAAAACAAAAAAAAACACTAAGAGATCGAGAGAAATAAATCTGAAAATATAAAAATGAAATATAAAAATAAAATAAAATATAAAAATATAGAAATAAATCTGAAAATATAAAAATGAATGAAATTGACATCAAAATATAGATCCCGACGAGAGGAATCCAACGGTGAGTAGCCCGTCAAATTCCAACTAACGAAAAATAAATTACACCTCTTGTAAGAACACCATCGTCGAAATACGCCGACTAAAAAAATGCAGAAACAGATCTAGCACTCCAAATTGAATGAAATACCCAACAAAAAAAAGAGCGCGACGAAAGGAATCCAACGATAGTTGAACCATCGAATTCCGACCACCGGAGAGAGAGTTATGAGTCCGAGAAGTAAAATCGCCGGTTAGAGACCTTAGGGGGCGGGATTTGGATCTGAGAATTGAGAGAGGAAGATAAACACCGATATGGGTTGGGTTAGGGTTTAAAACTGATTTAAAAGGGTATTTGGGAACTTCAGGGTGGGCTAGGAGGGTATGTCAAATTATTATCCAAATGAAGGGGGTTTGCACTAGGGTGTAAACAACATGGTAGTTAGTTATATATATTTTCGAAATGATGGGTCTCTAAAACAATCCGTAAAAAAACTAGGTAATATTAAATTATAGGTTAATTTATGGTCACCCTCATTGCTGCGGTAAACTACTAAAATATCCCTCATCCTGATTAATTATAATCACCCCTTAATTATTAATCTCTATACACATCAACCCTTATGACGTCAAATTAAATAAAATGTTCTAGATTATGTAGGAATATTTCTAGTTTGTACACCTTTTGTACTCAAATGCAGTTTTTGATCCAACGTACTGTGATATTCACAAGTCGAGAGACACAAATCTTACGATCATCTTACTTCAAAATGTGGAGCTCGAATGGGGTAAAAACGGGTACAAACTGGAGAATATTGCACACAATTTAGAAGATTCCATTAAATTTGACATAATAAAGTGAGCACATAAGAATATTCATAGTTGATGGGGCGGTAGTAATTTTCTAAACATGAGAAGTTTTTTTGTAATGCGATCTTACTTTTAGGGGTGGCCGTAATTTAGCCTAAATTATATATACATTCAATTATACATATGAGATTCCAATTGTGACAGAGAAAATTAATTTTGCTTTGGTTTTATTAGCAGCTACAAAGAGGTATTTAATTATCTCGATTAATTAAAATGTTAAAAAATCATATAATTAGCGTAAAAAGGGTTATAAAATGAACATTATTCCTGAGAAAAAAAACTCTTTAATTTAAATTAACTAATAAAAAAATGGGTTTTTGTGCATAAGTCCCAACCAAGCATGTTTATTATTTTAGGTTTGTGGGCTATATCTCTTTCACCAATAAGCTCATCCCTTTAATATTTATTATAAATAAAGGAAACACTCATGTATATTCCAATAATACCCTCAACCATTTATATCCAATTCTTAATTGTAACCCCAATTTAATCAATTATGTCCACAAAAATCCAATTTTGACCACAAAAATTCAATTTTGACTTTTTTTTGGAGCATACTTTAATATGCTCCAATTTCATCCTTTAACTTAATTTAATCTCAATTTGACCCCAAATTTCACAAATTATTCAATTTTGACCCAAAACTTTTTTTTTCACAAACATTTTTTTTTTCAAAAAAAAAATTTTTGGCGCCGGATTCCGGCGTTGACTTTTCAAATTTTTTTTATTATTTTTTTTTATTTTTTTTTCTTTCGGATTTTTTCGCAGGTTTCCGGCGTTGACTTTTTATTTTGTAAAGTAACGTAATAATATTACGGTCTATTATTGTAATATTACTGTGGTTGACGGTAATATTATGTTGTTATACTAATATTACTGTCACTCACAGTAATATTGGTTCTTTTGGTTTTTTATTATGTTTACATTTGTTGAACGGTCAACATAGTAATATTGCTCTATTACACAATAATAATGAGTTTTGTTGTGTTAATATTATTGTGCTAGAGATTAATATAGCAATATTACTGTGTTAAACTCTAGTTTAGTTTAATTTTACTGTGTTTAACAGTAATATAGTTAATATTACTGTCAATCACAACAATATTGGTGTTTAAATGAAAAAAAGGTTACAGAAAGAAAGAAAAGGAAAAAAATAAAATAAAAAAAATCGAAAAAGTCAACGCCGGAAACCGGCGAAAAAAAACCGGAGGAAAAAACAAATTGAAAAGTCAACGCCGGAATCCGGCGGGAAAAAAGAAAGTTTTTGAAAAAAAAAATTTGGAAAAAAAGTTTTGGGTCAAAATTGAATAATTTGTGAAATTTGGGGTCAAATTGAGGTTAAATAAAGTTAATTATGAAATTGGAGCATATTAAAGTATGAGGGGTTATTTTAGTTCTTTACAAAAATCTGGACTATGTGTGGACTTATTGGTAAATGAGTTTTTTGTCTTGATCTCTTTATAAATAAGTACCCATTGATGGGTCTATTTGTAAAGACCCCATAAATAAATGGGTTACTCACAAAAAGATCCATGACAAGTGCACTTAATTAAAAGAGGGACATCCAACTTTTTTGTCTTTCAAATAAATCCAGCTCATTCAAACTTATTTGCAAATAAAGAAAATCCTTTTATATATACCAAAATTACCCCCAATTCATTGAAACTCAATTCAACTCCAATTTCATGATTTACACCCCAATTTAGCCCAATTTCATCAATTAACCAATTTTAACCATAATTTCAATTTTGACCCCAATTTTGATCTGCCACCACCAGAGACCGCCGGACTGCGGCGTTGACTTTTTTTTTTCCTGAAATTTTTTCCGGCCGGTCAACCACCGTTGATAGCCGGTCTCCGGCGTTGATTTTTTTTCTTTTTTTTTTTTTAATTTTTTTTTTTTAGAAATTTTTTTTTTTAATTAATATTATTGTCTTGGCTACTAAATTACTGTCTCAGGCAGTAATATTACTGTTTGAGACAGTAATATTATGAATATTATTTTCCCGAACAATAATATTATTAATATTATTGTCTAAGACAGTGAAATTACTGTTGGAGACAGTAATTTAGCAGCCAATGCAGTAATATTAATTAAAATAATTTTTTTTAAGAAAAAAAATTCAAAAAAAAAAATCAATTAACAGTTAAATTCCTAAAAAACAATTTCCGGTAAAGAAAAGTTTTCAAAAAAAAAAAAAGTCAACGCCAAAATGTGGCCGGAAAAAACAAATTCAGAAAAAAAATTGAATTTTTTTTTGGGGTTAATGGAATATATTTGTTTAAATCCGGGGTCAATGTGTAATATTAAGGAAGTTAGAGCATAATGGATGAAATTGATAAGAATTATACTATGGAGGGTATTTAGGACTAAAAACATGGAGATAGGTTTAATTGAGAGGCTGTTTTTTTTGGACCAATGTGCATTTAAATCCCATGTGATGGGCCTTTTTGCCATTCGGCCTATAAAGATAACAATCTTAGGGCTCGTTCGGTTACCGCTATAAGATTCTACTGACTAAATAGTAGGGGCTAATAACACGTCCGGTTGGTAAGATTCACATTTTTTCAAACCCGGTACTAAAATCAAAGTCCGCTATTAAATGCTACTATTTCATTAAATTAGTAGCACCCCTCCCCCTAAGATTAATTTAATAGGGGGTGACTAAAAAGGAAAAATACAATTTTATCCTTAAATTCATATTTTATTATTGTAAACTAAGTGGTTTTATAGACAATTCATATATAATAACTGATTTTAACAAATTTAATAGAAAATCTAAACTAAAAAACCGAACATGCTACTAACTAAATAATTAATTAGTCAGTAGGGAGTTAATCCAATATCATGTAATCCAATCTAATCCAATATAGGTAACCGAACGAGCCCTTAAATTAAAATAATTTTAGTTAAGAGACTTTGAAATAATTTTAAAGTTACCTGTATGGTCAATATTTGTACGTGAGACGTACGCTACTGCCGGCGCAAGCTAGCAGTTCAATCGACCACTAGCTAATAACCTTGCTCGGAAGCAGTGTAATCATTCGGATGCTCAAAGTCCACTCTTGCTAGTAGGAATTTAGCATCGACGCATGAATTCGATTTCTATCTGTGCAGCCATGCTGGGATCCAGGTACAATCTTGTAGCACTTCAAATAATTCGTTGAAAATTTCAGCTTGTATTATACATATATATCTCGATCTATACTTTGTTCGAATTATAATACATTATTTTTTTGATAATTCTGGTCTTGATAGGGAACTAGTCGTACAGCACATTACCATGTGTTGTACGATGAAAATCGGTTCAGTGCAGATGCACTGCAAATTCTTACAAACAACTTGTGTTACACGTAAGTATTCGTTCGTTATAAATGTCGAATACAATCATACTTTATTTTTTATATACTTCATATAAATTGACTTCAATTTTTTCGTTTTTCCCCCTCAGATATGCAAGGTGCACTCGCTCAGTTTCCATAGGTAAGATATACAGCCTCCAATCTGATTATTATCTTTCAATTATTTTTTGTTCTACTCAGTTGCTCTTTATATTAACTTGAAATTGATTGTCTGTTGTGCAGTCCCACCAGCTTACTACGCACATCTTGCTGCATTCCGAGCCCGTTACTACATTGAAGCGGGAGAATTCTCCGACAGTGGATCTGCTGCAGCGGGCCCAGGTGGAGCGATGAGGGAGAGGGTTGGAGAGGTTCGGGCTCTGCCTGCAATTATGGACAATGTTAAGGATGTCATGTTCTACTGCTGATTTTAGATGACTTAAAAACTTAACTACAGGACTACATCTTTTTGTCTAGATTCACATGTTTTGCTGATTTTCGATTAATTTAGAAAAAAAACTACATCTTTTTGTCTATGAACATATGTTTTTGTAGATTTCTCTTTTTCGGTGCTAAAATATGCTATGTTGAAAAGAATTATGTGCCGTTTGGCTAATGATTCGATGGCAATGTTATTTAGAATATTTGAACTTCAACTGTGTTGGGATTAAAGGAATTTGATCGGTTTTCTTTTTGTTGAATATGTTCTATGTGTGGTCGATTTTTATTTTTTTGTCTATTTTTATTTTATGATGACAGGTACATATTGCTGTATATACATATTGCTGTATATATTGCATTGCCACATGTGTCTTATGTATTTGATTTATGTTGATAGAGTTACTTTAATCTGTAATGAGTTTATTGTAATTTACGTAGGGGTATTTGCACTCGGCTCCCCTGTGAAATGTCTAATTGGCAAAAAAACCCCTTGGATAAAAATTAG